AAAAAAAAAAGACCTTGTAATGCACATGCTGTATATTGAACAGTAAAAAAGCTCTTAAAAACCTAAACTGTTATAACTTAGTCAAATCCTCTATTCTTTCATGACAGTTTGGAAATAACAAGAGCACATAAAATTACCTCCATATTGTTTTGTTCTTGATTCTAAATAAGCCTTGGCGTTATTAACGCTATCGTCTTTAGTGACATCAATAATAAATGCGTCAACAGGGATTCGATAACTCTTCGAGAGCTGTTGGTAATCGTTTATAGACTGCAAACTATTTGAATGAATTGCTTGGAACCAGTTTTTGCTACCAGTTTAAAATAAAATGTTTGTGGGTTAAAAATTACTCACTTTCTCAAATAAACATCCAGCAAACACTGGCATGCCTCTCTCAGCACATCGTACAACTAGTTCTTTTCCAAAACCTACGAAGACAGTCTTGTGTAAAAGAGATGCTTCAACAATGGGATTAAAGTCAAAGATGACTGACATAAGTTTAAAGCAAAAACCAAAATTCAAAATCTTAATAATGAGTTAAAGAGGAACTACTGGAAAGAATTCGTCCAAACTCACCACTGTCGCAACCAGTAATAAAAACAGCTCTAGTTTCCAACTTATCAATCTCGAATCGTTCAAGAAACCATCGTATGATTAGAAAGAGCAGGAATGCTACACCAATAGCAAGAAGCAATGTTGTAGCTTCCATAAGGAATACCTGGAGGAAAAAAACTTATTTTTCTCATAACATACAACGAACGCACTACGCTAAGGCTTTTGGGACTTTCATAGGTACCAAAATTGAAGCAGTTCAATTTCTATTTCAGTAAAGTCGAATTTCTCAACAAAATCAACCAATGCCTTCTGAGAACTTCGTAGTTGCACAGACCGTTGTTATTTTTGCTCTTCACTACGGTCCTTCGAAAGAAAAAAGCAATTGAACTGGATGAGAAAAACAAACCGTGTAGCCAAATTCAAATTTTAAGCTCACCTTGTTGAAGACGGTAAAAAACTCATAATTTCATATGTTACACTACATTTGTACTGGATGAAAAATTAACAAAAATGCAATATTTTGACTTTTTTGAGAGCAAAGCGATACTCTGTGGACTTTATAAAATATAAATTAAGGCCGAGATGCGCGAAAAAGGTAGGCAATGAAGACTGAGCAACTTTAATAAACAAATTAAAACTTTGAAGCGATTGTCTGCGCTTCACTATAAAAGTGAAACCTTGGAGCATAGGATCAATTAGATAATTTTTACAAGATTTTGTTGCTTTTTTATTCAGGATTGCGCGTAATTGGTCCATGTTTCGAAAGATTTTTGAGGACGTAATTGTGTAAAGTTAAAGAGCAGCGTTTATTCGACTGTCAGCTAACTTATCAGCTGGTCAAGCTGGTGCTAAATACAACAGAAGATAAGAGAGCGTGGAGACTATACTGCACCTACGTTCAGAGTCAACAATCATTATTGACCTAAGGAAGGTATGTAGCTTTAGATGCCGAAAATGTTATACACTGCAAAATTTGGATCTAAAAAAAGAAGAGAAAGTAATAGCGATGAGTTTTCGTACAAGATACCCATATTTTCGTGAATTACTTGAAGCAGGAACTA